ACTGGCCTAGATTCTAAAAATGTCAATGTTGTGAAAAAAGAGAAGAAGCTGAGAGGGAAGGAGGGAGGTGGGGGGTGGGCTGAGGAAATGTTGAAGATCAAAGGAGACTAAAGAAACATGATAACTAAATGCAATGTGTAACCCTGGGTTGGATGTTAAATTGGGGGAAAAAAAACTGCTATAAAACACATTATAGAAACAGGGGTGAACCTTGAAAATGGACTCATTATAGAATAGCATTATAGTAATATTAAGTTTCCTGAACTTAAAAACTGTACTGTATGAGCATGTAAAGAGAATGTTCTTGTTTTTAAGAGATATATCCTGAGGAATTTAGGGGCAAATGATGGTAATGTCTGCAAGTTTAATTTGTTTCAGCAAAATTCATAACAACAACTAAAACGCATGTATTGAGAGAGAGAGTATGGCAAAATGTTAACAACTGGTGAATCTGAGTTAATATTTACCTTTCTTGCAACTTTTCCATTTTTGAACTTTTTTTAAAATATGGTTTTTTAAAAAGCCATCACGTATGTAAAATCTTTTCCCACTCTCCCAGATAGAATTAATGCTGCCTCCTCTAAGCTGTTATAAATGTTTTAATTTTGACTTGAAAATGCTCAGGTTGGGTTGTAATTATTTATTTAAGCATTTATCTTATTCTATTAGATTGAGAGCTTCTTGGGGCAGGAACTTAAATTGCCTTTTGGAATTTAATAATGGGAGAAGTATTCTAATTCAGGGCCATTTTACTTGCTGACATGGTTTTAGTAGAGTATTCTGACACTACAGTTTGAGCTCATGGCCAAACATGCTGGACAATCCTGAGATGAGAACTAGAACAGAGCACAGGAAAGTGCTGGAATTTATTTACAATGTAAATCCCTTTATGGAGACTTCTGCTGGCAAAGCTGGGCAGCCCTCTGGTCCCAGGCAGATACACAAGGGTGCCATATGTTTGAGGGAGAGTCCCATGAAAGTGGAGCCAAATTGCCTCTGATTCCTGGAATACAATCGCCCATGTATCTGTCTTATCACTTCCAACACTTGTGTAACAAGAGGGCAGTCCCATCCTTGGCTGGCCACAGGCTAATTATAAAACCCATGCGTTAGAGGATCAAACTATTGGAAAGTGTAGGTGAAACTGTGCTCCTCCTATCTCCCCATTGCTTGCTTTGATCATGAATATAGGAAAATGTCTTTCTCCATAGTACTGAGAAGAAAGCTTCTATCTTTCTCTCTGCCTACCTCCCTTACTTACTCCTCAAGGAAAGACACAAATTACTTCTATGATGGATGAGACTGTACAGTGTCATTATACACACACTACCCAACCTCCTTTCAAATTCCTCTTTCAGAGATGTCTGCCCCACAAGCCAAGTGTTCTTCTCTCCTCATGCAGTGGTGGGTAAAGCCGTTTCCAGTGACCTTGCCTATGTCCAGGGGGAAAGTTCAATTCCTGGAGGAAGAAATGAGAAGCCAGTTTTGGCCTCAGGTGCAAGCCACATTGTCCAGACCAGCTTTAGCAAGCAAGAAAGATGATATTTCAGTCCCAGTCTGTTTCTTCTGACTGTATCGTTTTGGTCCAGCACTTGGAAAAGAAAGGGGCATGAAGGGCCCTCTCAGAATCCCCACAGTATTTTACTAATCTTTGAATCTCAGTGGTGGCTTGTTCTATGAGAAGCCCTCAATAAATTTTTGTTGTCTGGAACTCAGACAATGTGACGCACACACAGGCATATGACTGCTCACAGTTATCATCGTGGTGGGGGTTGTGTTTTTTCATCGTACAAAGTGATTTTTGAAGCTTTTCTAGTTTGTCCAAGGGCTCTGAGGCTACAAGGAAGCAGGCTTTCGTTAGTAGAAGAGAGAGAGCTACAACTCTGTGCTTCACTATGATTGCAATACCAGGGAGTGAGGTCCCAGGGGAGCTGTCAAGCAGCTCTGGATGGCAATTCTAGCAAGAAGGTGGTAGAAACACAATTTTAGCAATAATGATCAAGCAGTTTTTGAAATTATCCTTTATCCTTGAAATGCCTTGTGTTGCTGAAAGTCTATCCATTACTGATCATTCATCTGTAGCAAGTCATCTCTTTATGTATCTGTACATGGAAGTGACAGCAAGGGGAGGATTTTGACAAAGAGACAAAGGCTCCTAGGCACAGTCGGAGAGCCAGAGAGGTAAAAGTGAACAGCAGCTCGAGGAGGTAGGTGATAAAAACAAAACAGAGGAAGGAGAAGCCCCAAGAAAGTCAGCTTACTTAAAAGGGGCTTTGTCAGGGTGCCTGGGTGGCTCAGTCGGTTAAGCGGCTGCCTTCAGCTCAGGTCATGATCCCAGGGTCCTGGATCGAGCCCCACATCGGGCTCCCTGCTCGATTGGGAAGCCTGCTTCTCCCTCTTCCTCTGCCTCTCCCCCTGCTTGTGAACTCTCTCTCTTTCTCTGTCAAATAAATAAATAAAATCTTTCAAAAAAGGGGGGGGGCTTTGTTTTTTAAAGTGGACACCACAGCCCTTTAATATGCTTACTGGGACCATCGCTGGTACCTCCATCATCTTTTGAGTCCACTCCCCTAATCTCATCCACGATTCACTGCCTTTCCCTCCAGGATGCCCAACTCCTCCCTGTCTCCTTCATCTCAACCTGTAAACATGCCCAAGGTTCTTACATCCCCAGAAGCCTCAAAACTACCCTCCAGTGACCACTCTCTTGCCTCCTCATTGAGTATCCTTGTGCCCCCCAAACTGTGGCTCGTGGCCAGCAGCATTGACAGCGCATGGGCGTACACCCAAGATGCAATCCTCAGGCCCACACCAGACCTACTGAATCAGGATCTCCATAGGTGGGGGTCCAAGAGCTTGTGCTTTAACATGCTCCCCAGGTGATTCTGAGGCACACCCGAGTTTGAGAAGCGCTCGCTGCCTGTCTGCCATGTCTCTGCTTCCTCACCATTCTGGGACGCCTCCCTCTGTCCCTTTAAATTTTGATGCTCCAAGGCTCTGTCCTGGCCTCTTCTTTTCTTGAGCTATCCCCTTTCCCTAAGTGATCTCAGCCACCCAAAGACTGATTTAGCTGTTTGAACACAGGTGTGCATAAATTTGAGAATTACTCCATCCCTGGCCTGGTCTCCGAGCCCCCAGCATGTCCAGTCGCCTTGTGGACCTTTCTACCAAAATGCTGCACAGTTTTCTAAACTTGGTCTGTCTAAAACAAACCCAGTATCTCCTCCTACACCCACTTTGCAACTATTTTAACACACTGGGTTGTAGGATAGCACTGCCACCCACGTAGTCACCTTGAGCTCCTCGGCATCCTGCTTCCTCTCACCCACCCCTGGCCAGTCTGCAAGCACAAATGGGTCCACGTCCACCACTTCCCCAGCATGCGCCCTCTCAGTGCCCATCTCCCCTAATCAGTCCGTCCTTCATGCTGCCACCCCATCACCTCCCCGCTTAAATCCCCTTCGTGAATCCTGATTGTTTACCTGATAACTTCTAAGCCCCTTAACCTGGCCTCGCCTCCAAGTGTATTTCCCATCCATTCTCCCCTTCATCAACACACCAGTATTTCAGTAAGAGCAAATTTACCCCCTGTTCTTGGAATGGCCCGTGCCGATTCACAAGTTTGTGTCTTGGCACCTGCTGGTTGGTAACTGAGTCTCATATGCCCTTCCTTCTTTTTTTTTTTTTTAAAGATTTATTTATTTATTTTGAGAGAGTGAGAATGAGAGAGAGAGAGAGCACATGAGAACAGGGAGGGTTAGAGGGAGAAGCAGGCTCCTCGCTGAGCAGGGAGCCCGATGCGGGACTCGATCCCGGGACTCCAGGATCATGACCTGAGCCAAAGGCAGTTGCTTAACCAACAGAGCCACCCAGGCGCCCCATGCCCTCCCTTCTATAAGCATTCCCACCTCAGCTGGTCTTCCTGGCAAACTTCTATTCAAACCCTAAAACTTCACTCCAAGATCAAATCCTCTGTGAAGTCTTCCTTACACTATAGAGTACTTACTAATGTCTATCTCCTCAATAAGACTAGATCACCTTGATGGCCAGAAGCCTGCCTTATTTATTTGCCTTTGTATAGCCAGCACCAAGCTCAGGCTCTGACATCAAGGTGTTTAAAAAAAAAAAAAATTCTCCTTATGTTGATTCATTCACCCAACAAAAATCCACTGAACATATATCATGGAAGGAGCATTGTGGATACAATGAGCAAGACAAAAACTCTCTGCCCTCTAAGAATTTATCATCCAAAAAGGAAGCTAACAAGTAAACCAATGTTAACAGTGTACTCAATGCTACACACAACAGATAAGCTTAGGGAGTTACATGGGGTGACACCTAAATCAGTTTTGAGGTAATCTTATTGTGCCCTTGGTAATAGATGCAGTCTAGATCTGCAAGGAAAAATGATCATATGTATTTTCAAAGACTATTGCAATATCAAATTGTTGATATCATTCAGTTGGAGTCTGATGGCAGGAAAAAGACCTCATTAATGACTGATGTGTTAACATCCAGTGCATTTAACTAAAGGGTCCAATTAACATTTAAGGCAGGTGCCATGAGGCTCTGAGGACAAGAATTAAGGATCTGCTGTCACACCATTCACTCCTTTATGTTTCCAAAAGTTGAAAGAACTATCCAAAATATCAACTTAATACAGAGGAGGAGGCATTTGTGATGGTTAATTTTATGTGTCACCTTGACTGGGCCAGGACGGGAGCAGGGACCAGATGTTTGAACACAATTCTGGGTGTGTCTGTGAGGGTCTTTTTTGGAGGAACTTAACATTTGACTCAGTAGACAGAGTCAGGCAGCCTGCCCTCCCCAATGTGGGTGAGCTCAGCTGAAGGCCTGAATAGAACAAAAAGGGTGAGTAACAGGGAACTCTTCCTTCTGACTGCTTTGAGCTGGGACATGGGTCTTTTTCCTGCCATCAAACTGAAACACTGGCTCTTTTTGGGTCTCAAGCCTCATGGCTTTTGGATTAGAACTTACACCAGCAGCTCTCCTGGGTCTCTGGCTCGCTGCCTGAAGATCTTAGGACTTCTCAGTCTCCATTATTGCATGAGCCAATGCCTTATGATAAATCTATTTATATCTATAAGAGATTACACACACACACACACACACACACACACACACACTTCCTGTTGATTCTGTTTCTCCAAAGAATCCTGACTAATACAGCACTGGACAAAAATTTCTTTCTAAATCACCTGTTTTCCGCTTTAATTTCTACTTCACTAAAAATCAGCACCATTCCTAGCAGCGTCTACTGAAGTCCCTTTACTAAAGGATGTCTGTGACTTGACATTTCAGTAAAGGTGATTCTGATTCAGTGACTCAGTGGTGATCTCAGCCCTGCTGTGCTGTCAGCCCTAGAAGTGACATCAAGGTTGGGACTTGCTGAAAGGGGAACATGTGCTCATTTAAGATACCCACTGTAATAACCTGGGAGGTTTTGAGTTTCCTCTGTTATTATCAGAGAATAGAGAAGTTAGAAGTGATATCAAAGGCAGAAATAATATTTGCAGTTGTCATCATTTGCAAGGATCCTGTTCCATTTCTGTGTGTATGTGTGTGTGTGCATACACACATACACAGACACTCCTTCTCAAACTTCTGGAAGCTTCTGTTGTACTTTTGAAAGCAAAGAAGCCATGGAGGACATATCAATTCATTAAAAAGAGCACCAGCATTTTGCAGGAGATGGTAACTTGAAGAGAAGCATTTGATAAGCATGAAAGAGCAGATAAGCTGTATAACATTAACACTCCACTCTGAGTACTAACATAGGTACCCACTTCAGTAATTATGCCATAAACAAGAGTGTTCCAATGGCCTTGATGTGCAAACCTACTGGAATAAAGTTAGGATGCTTTCCTTATAGCTAGAGCCATGCAAGCTGAAGGAACCCTAGAATACGATTCCGATTAAGATAGCTTCCATTGAGGGCCTCAGCATTTCTGCTTCTACTAGAACAAACAGGACTATAGGTTACTGGTATCTAGTAGATATTCACCAATCTGCCAGGCCTAGGGAAATTTGTATATTAGTCATGATATGGGAAATACTGCTGGGGTTAACTTGAGGAGATCCAGATGATGTGAGTTTGGGTCAAAATAATACTAATATAGGGGCACCTGGGTGTCTGGTCGTGAGATTGAGCCCCTCACTGGGCGCCACACTAGATGTGGAGCCTGCCTAAGATTTTCTCTCTTCCTCTCCCTCTATCCCTCTCTCCCTCCCTCTCTTAAAAAAAAAAAACAAACTAATATTAATGGTAGCTTCCACGTAATGAGCAGTGATAATTACATTAATAGTTAACTCTAAGAAGACGGTGTTTTTAAGTGACCTGCCCAAATTCATACAGCTAGTAAGTAGCAAAGATCTGACCCCCAAGTGTTTCCAATTCCAAAGCATTTTCTCTCTTTTTTTTAAATGATTTTATTTATTTGAGAGAGGGAGGGAGACAGAGTGAGAGAGTGTGTGTGTGAGCACGAGTGGAGGGAGGCCCAGAGGGAGAAGCAGACTGCCTGCTGAGCAGAGAGTCAGACGTGGGGCTTGAACCCAGGACCCTGGGATCATGACCTAAGCTGAAGGCAGCTGGTTAACAGACTGAGCCACCCAGGCGCCCCCCAAAGCATGTTCTCTTAACCACAATTCATTTCTGCCTTCCAAAGGAATGACTAATCGTTAAGGAAATGTCATCAACCAAATATATATAAATAAATAAGAATGAGGTATCATATTACGTCTGGGCTATTCATCCAATTAGGGTGATAGCCACTTGGTCAGAAGGCCAAGAATCCCAGTACTGAACAGAAATATTCTCAGTACTTGTACACAGAATGAGGAAGGGGCTGACAAAGATCCCTTTTTTTAAAAAAAAAAAAGATTTTATTTATTTATTTGACAGAGAGAGAGCGCGGGCACAAGTAAGCAGAGCAGCAGGCAGAGGGAGAGGGAGAAGCAGGCTCCTCTCTGAGCCAGGAGCCCAATGCGGGGCTCGATCCCAGAGCCCTGGGATCATGGCCTGAGCCGAAGGCAGACTCTTAATGACTGAGCCACCCAGGGGCCCCCAAGGATCCCTTTTTTGACCAAACTTTGGTCCGGCTCTTCTGACCTCTCTTCTTGACCAGGCTGTGTCCCAGTCAGATCCTCAGCCTGTTTATGACCAGTTTCACACAATCCTGCTAAATCAGTTTAGAAAGAATCCTCCAACCCTTGGTAGCTACCCAAGTTCCTCTTAGTAATTCTCCATCCATTGATGCCTCTCATCCTGCCTGTTGGCTATAAACCCCCCCACTACTCCTGTGTACTACTCAAAGTTGAATTCCATCTCTCACCCCTATCCCAAATCTTGACCCCTAATGCATTAGTCTTGAATAAAGTCTTCCTTGCCTATTTAATTTGTCTGATACAATTTTCCTTCGACAGGGCATAGGTAAACACTGGAGGAGCTCTGAGTGCAATCATATTCTCTCATCCTTGCAGTCACAGAGTGCCTGGTGATGACTCAACAAACCTCCTACTGCAAACCTCCCAATCCAGCCTGCCTAGAGAATTGTCCAGAATGCTTGACTGTGAGAGCCTTCCTGCAAGCTAAGAAGATAAGCCGAAGAGTGGGAAGGAGGGGAGGAGAGGACCAGGCTATAATTTTAAGGAAGAAAGAAGCCTTCCAGTTTAAACCAGGAATTGGGTACAAGATCCCTCTCCTCTCCCATCCAAAATCCCACTGAAAGATATTTTGCTGGAAAGATATTTTGAGAAAGAATGAAGTAATAACAGAAGTACAAAAATAAGAAAGGTAGCCATCAGAGGACCAGAAAGCCGAAGAACTCTTGGAGGGCACAGAGAGCATTAGAATTGGGTTAATAAAGAAAGAGCTAAGGCCCCAGAGGTGAAACACTTCGGGGGAACACAGGTCTTGAAAAGAAGTTCCACAGAAGCTTTAAACTGGGTGGCAACCAAAAGTACAGAAGTGCCCCACAGACAACTATTAGGGTAGTTTGTTAACAAGCAGCATTCTGAGCCACTGGGGAAGTTGGGACCTCTAGTGTTCTCTGCCTAAACAAATTTAGCTTCTGCCTTCCAGCTATACATGGAAAACAGATCTAGAAAAGAACAAAAGAGAGTGCTTGGTAATTAAAGTATAATTATGGGGGGGGAATCCAATAGAAGGATTGAATTTATTAGAGGGTACACAGGCAAGGATTCAATTTGTGATCTGGACGTAAAGGAGAACATTCAGATTAAAGAGCAAATAGACCAAAATATGGAAATAAGAGAGCAAAGATGAGGCTCACGGATGATAGATTCAGGCAGCCCAATATTCCTTCAATAGGAATCCCAAATGGAGAAAAAGAAATAAGGAAGGGAAGGAGGTCTTCAAAGATATTAGAGAAAATGTCTCTGAGCTGAAGACAGACCCAAGTCTTCAGATTAAAAGGGTCCACTGAATGCTGTGCTGAGTGAACGAACAAACACCTAATTAGTGACCTTTTTGGGAAAGTTCAAACTTCAAGAAATTTTGAGGGGCACCTGGGAGTCTCAGTCGGTTAAGCGTCTGCCTTCAGCTCAGGTCGCGATCCCAGGGTCCTGGGACCGAGTCCCTCATCGGCCTCCCTGCTCCATGGGAAGCCTGCTTCTCCCTCTCCCTCTGCTGCTCCCCCTGCTTATGCTTTCTCTCACTCTCTCTGTCAAGTAAATAAATAAAACCTTAAAAAAAAAGAAATTTTGAAATTTTCCAATGAAAGGGAGAAAAAAACATATACAAAGAGGAAAGAGAATTATTAAACTAGCACCAAACTTCATCAACAATATGGGTTGCTAGAAGACAATGGAACAGTATCTTCAAACTCCTAAGAGAAAGAATACTTGGAGCTCTGAATTCTGTGGTTAAACAATCATTCAAAATATATTAAGATCTATAAACACTCAGACAGTTTACAACACTCATCCTATCTGAAAAAATTACTTCAGGTGTTTGCTCACACAAAATGAAACAAATCCAAGAGAGAGAGTGACATGGGTTTCAGAATGAAATCACAGCAGGCAATTTTAGGAATGAGATGCTAAGTATTCTTCTGTGGATCATTTGCTCTTTCTTTCCACCCTGGTGCTCGCTGAGAGATTAGTCACCAAACTCAAACTTGGATATTGGCCTTATTCCTTTCTTTAATCACGCCAACCCTACACAGATTCTCCCCCATTTTTGTCATACTTTTGGTGCTGGCATACCATAAAATCCTAATTATCAGAGGGCTCTCTGGAAAACTGAACTTTTCTTGCTAATGCCTTAAAAATTCCTGACTCTCTTTCAGTGTTCATAATTTTTAAAATAGTTTTGAATGTATTCGCCCTCTCTTTTGCCAACGTAAACATACAGTGAACAAAATGCAACTTGTTCCTCAATTCAGGGTCTGGTATTACCAGGGAATGGATCACCATTCCCCATAACCAAAACGTTTGCCCTAAAACCCAGAAAAATAATCAAGTGACATGCCCACCAGGACCATAGCCACTTAGTGGCAGAGTCTTGGTTAGAACCGTCATATTCTGACTCCTGGTGTTATGGACTGAATTTTGCTACCACCACCTGCCCCCACTCACCACCAAATTCATATGTTGAAACGCTAACCCCCAATGTGACTGTAGTTGGAGATAGGGCTTCTAGGAGGTCATTTGGGTTAAATGAAGTCATAAAAGTGGGATCCTCGAGGCGCCCGGGTGGCCCAGTTGGTTGAACATCTGACTCTTGGTTTCAGCTCAGGTTATGATCACATGGGTCCTGGGATCGAGCCCCACATCCGGCTCTGTGCTCAGCGTAGAATCCACTTGAGATTCTCCCTCTCCCTCTCCTTCTGCCTCTCTCTCTCTCTCTCTCAAATAAATTAATTAATTAAATAAAATCTTAATTTAAAAAGTGGGATCCTCATCTGATAGGACTGATGGCCTTATAGGAAGAGGAAGAAAGATCTCAATCTCTCTCTCCACATATACACAC